CCATGTTCTTGGATTCAAGTTTGGTGTATGTTTTACTTATGGATAATCTTATTGATATTGTCCTCGAATATGAGTTAATTGAATCATGTTTCTTAATACATGTGATCGATTCAATTAAACACGTGATTAGGTAGGAATGTGTGCTAGTTAGTTGTTTGGATGAATGTGTACTACGCACACTAACTTTACACCTAAATCACATCTCTAACAACGACTTCAGGTCTATCCAACCTGATTAAGAGTATTGGCACGTTCCTCGTTGTACGAATAGTACTGCATCACTATTTAAGGGACCTTAAATTCTCCATGACATTGAGTTTTTAAGGATATTCGAGGTGGCAATGATCATAAATGAAACCACTGAAGAAAATAGAGTGAAATATCTTTGTCTCACCTCCAAAAATGAGCCTGATGCTTTGATTTGGGGCCAATGGGTTGTCACCTAACTGGGAATGCACCATATGTGGCTAGCCTGGAGCCTGATGATTGAGCAGTTTACTTGTTTTGGCACGACCATTTGGGACACTTAGGTCGAACAATGATGCTACAATGCATCTCCTTACCCGAAGTAAGGATCTTGTAATTACAAGCACACTTTGCCAAAGCCTGCTCATTTGGGAAATTGATTTCTATATCATTCCTTGCAAAGATACGACACGACTCCTTTTTCATAGTGGATTCAAGGGGAATATATGTGGACTAATCCAACCAAAATGCGGACCACATAAAATACTTATGATTTTGGTTGATGAATTGACAAACTGGTCACATGTTTGTCCACAAACATTGCTATTAAACCTCATGGACGATTACGGGTTCACCACTCTACTTATCCCTTAAGGTCCGGGAGACTGGATAATGCCTGAGAGTATATATCGATGGTTTTCGATAAAGTATTGCATGTATTTTGGGTTTATAATTGAACATTGAATTCCCATGTTCACCTCAAAGAGCCTCGCCTAGTGATCATAAAGCACAATTTAAATGATCGCCTGAATTTTGGTGAATATACCAAGTTTTCGGTTTCTGTCTAGGGCTATGCAACCCTTATACGCAGTTATGTTGGTCCGCCTTGAGGCCCATTGCCACCCAACCTATATGACGTTATAGTTGGTTACTAGGTATAAACATGACGATTTTCGTATTTACACATTTGGGTGAGCATTCCATATGCCAAGTTGCACCGCCGCAATGTACCACCATGGGTCCTCAAAGAAGGATGTGTATTTTTTGTTGATCATGATTCTCCTTCACATTAGCTCTCTTCAAGCCCTTGTATGCGATCTCTTTACCGCTTATTTACGAGTTGTCACTTTAATGAGATAGTTTTCTCGCCGTTAGGAGGAGATAAGAACATCAACGTTCCTATAGAATCGTGAATTTGCGTGGACGTTACCCACTATGTCTTATCTCGATCCCCATACCACATAAGTGTGATAAGCAAGTGCGATGAATTCTAGCTTTCAGAATGTTGCTCCAGACGCATTCTTCTGATCTAGCTAAAGTGACGAGATCATATACTAGCTGCAAACATGCCTGCAAGGATAGACGTACTTAATGGACGTCAAGTTAACATCCTTGGAGGGTGTGCCGCCCTTGTTGGACGGTTTGGACGCCCATGTTGGATAGTCCGATACACCGGCGGATAGCTAATCAATCTGTCTTGGCCTGAAGCACGACAGATCATTCGGTTTATAAGATTCACTTCCTTTAAAGAGGAAGATATGGTACAACAATGAATCTAAACTGGATCACTGTCTCAAATCATTTCCATCTCATAAGATTAATCTGGATTTCTCCCAAGACTTAAAGTTCTTGGTCCAGTATACTAGTTTGGATGAGGTAAATGGAATTGAAATGAGATTATCATCAATGATGTTTTCACTTATATGGTAGCTACCGACATAAATGAAAAGCGACAATATCGAACTGTGTTCTCTTGATTAAGTGACAACATAGAATTGATTGGACAACTGAAATTACAATCCAGGTTAAATTTCTTACCAAAGTGTGTATTGGACCTGTCATTCCTACACTGCCCAAGGTAACCTTGTTGTGTTACAAGTGGGAAAGGAAACGTTACAAGATGAATGAAATAGTACGATATGATGCACGCCTTACGGCGCAAGGTTTCTCTCAAACATCCTGTGATTGATAGCAACATTATGAAATGTGGTTAGTGTTTTCTCCATGGGGATATAGATACGGAGATTAACATGTAAGCTTTCGAAGAATTACATGGATTGGTTCAAATAGTTCCAAAACCACAGAACACCCTATTAACTTGTTTTGAGGCGTTCACTTATGGATTGAAAAATTCAATGGATGTGGTATACCCGTCTACGTGATTATTTGATCAGTTAGGGATATGAATAATGCCCTTGCGTGTTAAACTATGAAGTCTTATTCCAAAGTGCTAGAGTTACAGTTTATGTCGTTAACACGAATCTCACTAAGACTCCGAAAGAGCTTGAGAAAATAGCCTCGCACCTGAAGATGGAATTTGAGATGAAGGATCTTGGGAAAACTTGTTTATGCCTTGACCTGAAGTTTAAGCATTGTTTTGACGGTATTTTGGTCTACCAGTCGAACTACACCTCAAATGTGTTACCTTTGAGTATACCTTTGATTGTCCATACATTATATGCAAATGATACCCTTGAAGAGGTTATGGAATCCGAAATTCCAGATCTAAAGTTCAACTTTGTGCTTCATGTACTTAGCTCATTGTATTTAGATAGGACATCTCCTTCGTTGTTGATCTTGGTAAAGATACAGCACCGCGCCTACACGCAGCCACTGAATTGGTATTAAAGACGTACCCTGAAGGTACTACATAGGCAAATCCCGACGCATCTCGAGCAGATCCAACCCCCCTGATCCTCAGAATGATGCTTGCCTTGTTTGTTATGCTAACGCTAGTTACTTATCAAACCCGCACAAAAATGCCCAAATGGTTATGTCTTTACCGTTAAGGATATCGCAATATCTTGGAGGTTCATGATATGACCTTAGTTGCGAAATCTTCGAATTGTTCCAAGACTCACCTCACTTCACTATGCCACAAGTAAGACATGGTTAAGAGTTCTTGTTGAGCATATTCGAAGTACTTACTATGTTTTCATCCATCATTGAGTCCCAATGACGATCCATGAAAACTATGCCGCATGTATCCACTCGACCAAGCCATGATACATCAACGAAGTCAATGCCAAGACATATTGTGTCCACATCTACATCAGCAAAGCATCAGGAGATTAAAGTCATGCAAGCCGATCCCAGACAACCTTGGTGACCGCTACACGACGTCATTGCCGAAGTCAACCTTCCAGAAGCTTGTTCGAGGAATTGGTATGCCTAACTATCATATGCAATGCTTGTAGTTCTCATTTGGAAGTTATGTCAAACTCAGGGGGAGTATCCAGAAGTATACTCACTTGATCTTAATGTACTCTTTTTCCCTATGATTAGGAGAATTTTTCCCACTTGGTTTTTGCTACCTAACTAGGTTTTAATGAGGCACCCATCCTGGGCTTATCATACCCTTGTGAACTCTTCTCCTTGCATCCAAAAGACGTATAGTTTTGACTTAATGCAACTTCTCACTTTTCTCCTTAGACTGGGGTTTTCCCCCACCTTGGGTTTTACCATAGCAAGGTTTTGTGAGTTTTACTTTTTATGCATTCTTCCGTTGATCTGACACTCGCATTTGCTTATTGTGTCGACGACTTCATTAACTGTACTTGCTTCATCACTGAATACCTGATGCACCATTTACTTGAGTATTTACACACTCAAGGGGGAATGTTGCAGTCCTATTAGATTAGGAATGTGATTGTGTAAATCCTAGTATATCTTGGAATATCTCTTATATTCCTATTAGGAGTAGATTACCTATTAAATGTTGTAATTCTAAAGGGAAAGGTTTTTACCTATCATACTACTATAAATAAAGGCACAATGGGGTGGAATAGAACACACCTACAATTACACATCTCTCTTTTATCTACTATTGCTACACCTTCCCTATCTCTTCGGCCTCCATAATTGTTCCGTAAGTTATGCCTACAACAGTTTTAAACTTGTCATTCACGAGATTTATATTATTAAAAAGGATAGTTAGACTTGGCATTCATGTCTTGTTTTTCGTGTTCGTGTCGTACCAAATATCTTAACGAGTTGTGTTGTGTAACACCTGTTAAAGTAAACGGGTAATATGACCCTCCTCGAAATCGACCCGTTAATATTATCAGGTAATATGATTTGACCCGTTACCTGTTAAAGAAAATATTTTTTAAATAAATAAATAATGAAAATAAAAAGCATAATTTGACCTAAAAAAACATACTACTAAATTAGTATATGCATACTGTTTATACCATATTTAGGGCCTCCGTATTTAGACCTCGTATAAATACTTGGGGGACTCAAGTGTAATTATGTAATAAATGAAGGGGCAAATATGTAATAAGTGATGAGCCCTTAGTCTATAAGAGAAACTCTTCACCCTCACAATCAAAGGGTCTCATATCCCCAAAGAGAGGCCCTCATCCTTACATACAGAAGCTCTCTCTCCCTCACAATCCTCTCACAAAATGAGAAATACAATATCAGTGTCGACGTAGACCAAACATTAGGGTAAACCACGATACATCTTGTGTTCTTTACTTTCTTGCAGATTCACGGTCAGATTTACGTTGTTCCAAGACCCCTCCGGTTTTGTGCATCAACATTTGGCGTCGTCTGTGGGAATCGATACGAAAAGTTGTGTCGGTTCTTTTTCATTTTTTTTCACCTCTACCGTGAATCTACAAAATCACAAAAACCCAGAAAAACTTCGCAAACTCCCTCTTTACCGAAAATCTCACTTACTCATATTACTACTCCTCTGAACTCCCAAGTACTTAACCAAAAAGCCACTTTTCTAGTCAGATATCTATACATTCCTTCGCTTCACTTCAACCTAAACCCTAACCTCCTCAACAATTTAAGCTAGCACGATGCACTACCAGACCGAGTCATGGGGCTCCTGTATACCCACAAAAACCTCAATGGGCATGGAGGACCCTCTGGAGCACATAGAGCGGATGGTGTCGGAGAACGCGGTGGTGATATTAAGTATAAGAAGCTGTTGCATGTGCCACGCCATCAAACGCCTCTTCTGCGGCATGGGCGTTAACCCCACTGTGTGCGAGTTGGACGAGGACCCCAAAGGTAAGGACTTGGAGAGGGCGTTGATGAGGCGGCTGACGACTTCCTCCACCGTCCCCATCGTCTTCATCAGTGGCAAACTTGTCAGCGCAATGGACAGAGTCATGGTTTCTCATATCAACGGCACTTTTGTTCCTCTTCTTATAGAGGCCGGGGCTCTCTGGCTCTAAGATTTGTTCATTCTCTTTTGTCTTGAGATAGTTTTTGTTGTAAGAAAGAAGGGAAAACAATCTCTGGCAACATTCCAGTAAGCCTTCGGTACCTCGACCTTTCGTCGAACAAATTCTACGGGGAGATTTCGATGAACCTGCTCATCTGGAACCTGTAGCAAAGTCTATTGCTGAGAAGGTGCCTAAGAAACATGCAACAAAACCTCCTGCAAAAGCTATAGATAAGAAAGAAAAAACCGTTGAAGTAGAAAACGAAGAGCCACTGGATCCTGTGGCTGAGAAACTTCGCCAACAAAGGAAAATCACATATCAGCAGATCTCCCTCAAAGAGCTTAGACTTGGTACTACCATGGCAAAGTTGTGACAAGTCGTGGACCTGGTACTACCATGGAGTTTGCTGTTGCACTGGTCGAACAATTGTATGGGAAAGAAAAAGCTGATGAAGTTTCTGGGCCACAGTATTCAAAAAATGAAAAGCATTAAAGGAAGAAGATAAAAAGAAAAAGCAAAAGCAAGTCCGCAGGTGAGTATGTTTGGAGGTGGAGAGACAGAGAAGGAGCGGGGAGATCAAGAAAAGTAGAAAGAAAACCATAAAAGCAAAAGCAGAAACCAAAAGAAGAAACAGACATAATTGCGGTGGTGATGGCATGCAGAAAAGGGTTATGGGCGTGACCCATTGAGCAAAGGGTCGAATTTATTTTTGAATGATGTGATTTATTTTCCTTATCTTTTAGAGACATCTGTGTAACCCCATCAGAAGGTAATCATAAAAATAAAATAAAAAACGGCAAGGCCAAAATAATGGGCTGGAATGTTATGTGGAGGGCGAAGGCTCATATGCAAAAAAAAGCCAGGCCCTTTATTATACCAGATGATCTAAAGTACGTCCAGTACTACAAAAAATTATTCGGCAGCCCGCCGCTATTATCAGGTGATCAAAAGTACGTTCAATACTCCAAAATTATTTGGCAGCCTACCGCTATTATCACCAACCAGGTGATCAAAAGTACGTCCCGTACTCCAAAATTATTCGGCAGCCTGCCGCTATTATCACCAACTAGGTGATCAAAAGTACGTCCAGTACTCCAAAATTATACATAAGCATCACTTATGTCAATCATACATAAACATTCATGACCATCACTCATATCAACATTCATGAGCATCACTCATGTCAACATTTATGAGCATCACTCATGTCAACATCCATGACCATCACTCATGACAATCAACATAAACATTCATGAGCATCACTCATGTCAATCAACTTCGAAAGCTTCATTTACAGAGCTCCAGCTTCGAGAGCTCCAACTTCAAAAACTTCATTTACAAAAGTTCCAGCTTCAAAGCTTCACTTTCCAAGCTTCACCTACAAAGCTTCAGTGCATGGTATACAAAGACCGCCTCCGAACAAACCGCCATTTCGGCCCATACATGGATTGAATTTGAAGTCTCCAGCCAACAGACTTTATTGACTGAAGACTTGGGGGACTACACTATGTACCATATGTTGGGCTTCCACAACTGGGCCTCATGAAAAATACTTGGGGGACTTGCCCATTATTTATGTAATAAGAGAGGAGCCCTTATTGTATAAAAGGGACTCCCTCACTTTCATTAGAAAGCACTTATGAAAAATACTCGGGGGACTTAACCCATTATTCATGTATTGAGGAGCGAACCCTTATTTTATAAAAGGGACTCCCTCACTTTCATTAGAGAACACCCATCACTTATGTATTGAGGAGCGAACCCTTATTCTATAAAATGGACTCTCTCACCATCATTAGAGAGTATCGCCGCTTGCTGAGCAACCGCCTTGCCGCAAGCATCACTCCTAGCCCATCACTTATGTATTGAGGAGCGAGCCCTTATTCTATAAAAAGGACTCCTTCACCATTATTAGAGAGCATCGGCGCCTGCTGAGCAACCGCCTCGCCGCGAGCATCAACTCTAGCCCATTATTCATGTATTGAGGAGCGAGCCCTTATTTTATAAAAGGGACTCCCTCACTTTCATTAGAGAGCATCGCCGCCTGCTGAGCAACCGCCTCGCCGCAAGCATCAACTCTAGCCCATCATTTATGTATTGAGGAGCAAGCCCTTATTCTATAAAAGGGACTCCCTAACCTTCAACGCCGCAACATAAGCCACAAGCAGAGCAACCTCGCAACATGTGCTACTTCTTGTTGAGCGTCAATTCAGATTGGGAACCGCCTCATATCAAGTATTAGTTCTAGACGACATCTAGTTACTTCGGCCCACACATGGACTGAATTTCAAGTCTCCAGCCAAAAGACTCTCTTGACTGAAGACTTGGGGGACTACTGTTTATACCATACTTAGGGCCTCCGTATTTAGACCTCGTATAAATACTCGGGGGACTCAAGTGTAATTATGTAATAAATGAAGGGGTAAATATGTAATAAGTGAGGAGCCCTTAGTCTATAAAAGGGACTCCTCACCCTCACAATCAAAGGGTCTCATATCCCCAAAGAGAGGCCCTCATCCTCACATACAGAAGCTCTCTCTCCCTCACAATCCTCTCACAAACTGAGAAATACAATATCAGTGTGGACTGGGCCCAAACATTGGGGTGAACCACGATACATCTTGTGTTCTTTACTTTCTTGCAGATTCACGGTCGGATTTACGTTGTTCCAACACCCCTCCGGTTTTGTGCATCAACACATACCACATTGTCACATTAATATTACTCCAAAACATTAAAAAAAAAAACATTTGTCTTTCAAGTATTATATACTCCAAAATAAGAGCCTAATGAAAAAACATTAGTACATTACTATAAAATACCAAATATTCAAGGATATGCAAAATGAAGGGACTTACGCTTCAAGGTTGAGGAACCTTGCACGTTTATATATGCCTTCACATTTTTAAAACTTGTACATTAAGATTATGAATTTTATTTAGTTTGAACTCCCTTAAAAATACTATTCATGAGGATTTGTATGGTTTTAAAAATCAAACAACATTGTACCCATACTCATATCGTATAAGATGCGATCACGAGCTTTGCCTAATTTTTCACATTTTTTGCACTTATAAATTAACTATTATGTTTTTTTTAATGTGTTTGGTATCTGTAAATTACTTGATACTTTTATTTTAATGTGTTTTATAATTTTTTATTCTCACACTTTGCCTATACTATATAAATAAATAAATAAAACTTAAATTTTTTAAATTTACATTGAATAATAATACAATAATATATATTTAATATACAATATCTACATATACACTATGGCTATTGTATTTATAGTAAGTTTTTTAAGTAGTTTAAAAATTAAAATCATCAAAATAACATTTTTCTTAACGTGTCAAAACAGGTTACCCGCATGTCACTTTCGTGTAAACCTGTTAAGAACTTGTTAAATAACGGGTTCTTATCGTGTGACCCGATTAGATATCGTGTTGACCCAAAACCCGTTATTTTTGTGTTGTTTACGTGTTGTGTTAACGGATTGTGTAAGAAATTGTTAGGTGTCTAAGGATAGTGTTATTACCACACTCATTTTAACCTCTCACATACTTTTGTTAATTTGTGGTCATTAATCTTCTTCAATTCATTAGATTTGATGATCGAAAATTAAAAGGGATGTGTAAGAAGTAAAAATGAACATATCAATAGCACTATCCTATTAAAAAATACGGGTGGCTTGAGTGACAATACTTTATGTAGCAATTTCTTTTTCTCTCAAAATGCCACATAAGTTAGTAAATGATACTTTTGATAGACAATTTACTATTTTTATTGGAGATGCATGTTTGATTTGGTATAAAAAATATGACAATATACTTGAATATGAGCTATTCCATCTTTAACGACGACGTGATATCACTTATAAATATTACAATTAAAACTATTTATTTTTTTATTATCGTCTAAAATCATTTATAAACAAATTCAAACAATCTGTTCTTTTTATTTCATGATTCTTATTTGTCATAAAAAAAAGTTGCTCAACACTTAGCTCGAAGTATGTAATGAGTAATTTTCTTTTGTCTTGAGGAGGTTAGGTGTTCAAAAAGGAACTGGATTCCCTCCTGAGCAAATCACACAGATTGTTGAAATTTGATACAACGGCTGTAATTATTATAATTTTTAGAAAGATATTCTATTAGCCGTTGAATCAAATTTTAATGGTCCGTGTGATTTGTTCATAAGGCTCAGCCTCCTAAGCTTAGGAGGGGATCCGGTTCTGTTCAAAAATACAGAGTAGGGTAGAAAGGATAAAAGAAGAGAAAGGGAGTCACGTCAACAATTTGGCATTAAATTCAAACGCACGAGGGGGCAGCAAACAGCTAGGGAGTTGTACGGTCATGCAAGCAACAGCCACTGCATGCACACGCAGGCATCTTGTTGCATCCTTTGATTTTCACATTTTTGACCTTGACTTTCTCCAAATTCAGTTTTGAAATTTCATCCATTTTCATCATATATATAATCAAAGCCAGTTGGGACAGCAGCTAATTAACTCCTCAGAGTACTACTACCAAATAATCATCGACGGTTTACCAAAACAAAAACATAATCATCGACGACTATTTGAATATATATATATTTCTTCTTCCAACCAGGGACCGATAGAGAGCTGGCTGAGATGGGCTGTAGCCCAAACGAAATTTCTGACAAGGGCAACTTCTTAGGGGATTAGTCCATCCAGATTAACATGGTTAAACCAAAAACTAATGAAGGCCAATAATAAATTATTGAGTAAATGACAGTTTGTAGTCTCAAGTTTTTGTGTAACATTAAATTCATACGTCGTCTTTTAGTTTTTTGTTTTTTTCACATTCTTACACAAAGTTATGTTTCTTTACAATATCATATATCCGTCAAATATTATGTATTAACCGTTAAAAGATAATGTGAAAACTGGGGGTTCTACAATTTCGTCGAGGTGGTTATAAAAAAAATATTTCAAGCTTGTGTCCATGGGGATGCTGAGTGTTGTCCTGTATTGGAAAAGATAT